ATGTGCAGAACGAAAATTCCAATGAATACAGGAAAGAGCGATAACAGTAAAAGGATTTGAGAAATCGTTTCAAAGAGAAATGTTTTATATATTTCAGCCATAAACTAAAAATACTGGTCGATCAATGAATGCCAAATGTTTCCTTGGAGGGAAACGGCTAATATGACCATTATACTTACCATTATCTCATAGAAATTCAAATTTTGTTTTCAATCTTATAAACGTTATCGAGTAGTTCTACTCGTGTTTGTTAGAGGGAAGGTCGCCTCAATTCCCTGGCTAATGGCTTCCCTATTCCTGTGTTTATTTTCTTGAGCAAGTCTTTGTTTTCTTCTGCTTGAGAAAATTATTTCTATCCACCAAAGCTGCAAGCATCAGTTACATTGCAGCTCTAACATGGATGAATTGTTGACAACAACTGTGTGCAATAATGCATTGACAAATACGTAGCTTTGAGTGAACGGCAGTTATTAAATTTCGCCTGAATTGACAACTTCCTTTCATAAAATCTGAACTTCAATGTAAGGAGTGATTGGACAACAATAAACATCTTATTTTGCAGTTGTCAATACATACTCTTCCTATCTTATTGTCTGCAACTATTTGGTGAGTAAAGTGGGGGAGGGTTTAAATTCAATATTTCTATCGATGTTTGACCTAGTTGTTTAAAGTTCTCGTGAGAGTCCATAAATAAACCGAATTCTTCTCCTGTAATAGTTCTATACCTGGTTTTATATTTGAATAAATTGTAACTATTAGCTGTATTACTATTGTTTCAATAGATACCTTAAAATCATCATCAAAATGTTAGGTCTTTCAAAATTAAGACGTATCAAAAAGTTCATTGTAAATATATTTATATTACTAAGTACATACGCAGTCATAACAGATAGCCTGACACTATTTTAAGTCAATCCCAACCCCTGAAAATATGAAGTGTGACCAATATACTATTAAAGTATATAGTTTCAAATGAATTAATGGAAAAGTTATTTAATTTCTTCATCATGTGATATAAATTGTAAACACTAGTTGTTTCTAATAAGGATCACCCAATAAAATGTCCAGAGTCCCAGAAAATAAATAGTTCCTGTTAAATGGCTATGAGTAATGAAGTGTGATATGAGGATAAAATGATAAATAAATATTGACCCTTCACTTGATGAGTTTAAGATTTTAGTGTTGAAGCAAAAATATAGACTTTCCACAAAGAACCGGCTTTTGGTAAAAAAAACCCCAAACTCTTTGAATTTGAGATAATTTTGTCCTTTCATTTGGAATACGGAAAAAAGGAGGATGATTCAAATCCGAAGTAATAGTATGGCATATGATAGTTGTAATGGCCTGAACTGGTTGAACCATAAAAATGGATTTCATCTGACTATATCCCATGAAAATATAGGTAGAGTAAGGAGAGGATTTCAGAGTTGTGTCTTTGCAAAAGAAGAAGTTATCGAATGGGAAATATGCCATTTGCAACACAATCGCAATCTCAGTTGAATAGATATTTACGAATGGCCCGAGAATGTTAAAAAGAAAGTTCGTTTTTAAGAGGCGGGTGTGTTTATAGAAAGATCTTATATCAAATGTAAAGAAGAGAAATTAATCGGAAGGTGAGACATTGCATTTGACTTAAATGAAACAAGACTTGGTGGGATAATATCTTCCATTGCCACCGGTTACTCATTAGATAAAGCGAAGAAGAAGATATTGTAGTAGTGAACTATTTTTTTAACAGCGAATGAGTAATTTATAAACGTAATTTTGTTTGTGGTTTGTCTTGTTTCGTTTAATGTTTTCTTGTTTCTGTTGAACCATTGCAAATGCTATTATGCATTACTCTGATTAGATGTCTTACCTTTAACCACTGCCAAAATATGAGATACAGCCGTAGGAGACTTCTGGAACTAGGTAACCACTTTATCTAACTTAAATGGGGCAAGCGTTGGTACCATAATATTTATTTCGCCAGAGTTTATCCTTGAGTTTAATAAGAGAACAATATTCCCATTATGAAGGAATTCATAAGGAAAAATAAATAACGTAAATTTAAGTTGCAAATTTATATGATCAATGACATGATGCTTGGAAAAACACAATGTTTAGTCTGTTATTTAGAACAAGACCAACTTTTCAATCTTAAATAGTCATACATGGCAGAGTTTTTCGAAAATATATATATATATATATATATATATATATATATTCATTGAAGATTGAGAGCTGCTTTGCTGGAGGTCTCATGAAATAAAAATTATTACCTATGGGATTTTAAGAGTTTGATATTCTTTAATTAATAATATTTTTGCTCTCTCTTGGCATAGAGCTCTCTCTTGATCTATATCCATATTGTATTATTACTATATTGCTCCTTATGAGAATAATTTGAGCTCTCCTTGAAATACATCCTACCGCATTACTATATATATATATATATATATATATATATATATATGTGTGTGTGTGTGTGTGTGTGTGTGCATGTATATATATATATATATATATATATATATATATATATATATATATATATATATATATATATATATATGGCCTCTCGAATACAGAGTGTGTCGCTGACCTATGTAACCAAGAGGTCAAAATAGGTAAGATCTAATCCCCAAATCTATGTATGTATGTATGTATGTATATATGAGTGTTTGTAGGATGTATAATATCATCAGAAAGAAAAGTAGTGGTTGTGAGTCAAAGTTAAAAACATTTTCACACCACATTTCGCCGACATGTTTTAGGTTCGGTTTCTTTAAGTTGGATTAAAAGACAAAACTGTATGTCAAGAAAATGTGTTTGCATAAGGGGCAATAAATTAAGTTACCTTATCAGATTCGATGATCAGATGACACCAGAAAGTGTTTGTTATATATATATATATATATATATATATATATGTGTGTGTGTGTGTGTATACATAGATAGATAGACAGATAGATAGATAGATATAATATTAGTTGTCAGTACACACACGCACACACACACACACACATATATATATATATGTATATAGTTAAATTACAAAGATTTCGATTTCAGTTTTGCGCTGAAAAAGTCGGAAGACGAAACGCGTCGGCAAAATCTAAGATTTTTTTCCAATTGTCATTTTATACCATATATATATATATATATATATATTAAATTTTAATCCCCACCTTCACCTTTAGTCCTTCCTGTTCTTCTCCCTTGTTACACCCTCTCTAGAGCTTTCATTTCCTTCTCAAACTTGTCTCCCACTCCCACACATACACTCTCACTAAAATTTATTTTTTATACCTGGAGTTATATTTTCTGATTTCTTTTTTGAATTTGTCGGTCTGATGAATTCGATCGTGATTAGTGTCTGAGCCTTTTTATATATATATATATATATATATATATATATATATATATATATATATATATATATATATATATATATTATTTATTTAGAAATTAAAGCAAACATTCGAACATTAGAACGGTTTATGATCACACATACCAGACATTCATCGTCTGTTATATTTAATAATATATATTTAAACAATGATCTGCTTCCCCAATAGACTAAATTCATGTTACATGATGCCGCAGCAATAAAAGATCCCAACACCAAGACATTTCAGTGGAAACCACTCTGAGGATGGCTCATGTGAGCCGAAAGCTGAGGATCAGCTTCCAATATATATATATATATATATACATACATACATATCTATATCTATATATATATATGAATGTATATATATACATATATATATACATGAATACATACATATATATATATGTATTTTAATTTCGATAAACGTGCAATCAATTTACAAATTCATGAATTATTCACACAAAAACAAATGCAAAGGTTAATGATTTAATTGGCGAGAAATCCATCGTCGCAAACAATTCAAATAATATACAAAAACCTCCGAATCCGTTATGAAGGAAAGATCCTTAGATTACATGAACGCACAACTGTAAAAAATTTAAAATCAAACTCAGCGTTGCTATTGCACGCTCCAAAAACAATAACTTATTTCCAATAGCATTTTCGGATACAACAATACATATATTTTCGTTGTCCTCTTATTACTAAGAGAAAAAACAAGAACAACATCTATTCCATACCTGAAGATGTCTGTAGGAACAGACGAAAGCTTGTAGAAAAAATAAGAACTAATGCGGCAGAAATTTATAGAAACAAGGATCTTTTCATTCATAACGGATTCGGAGGTTTTTGTATATTATTTGAATTGTTTGCGACGATGGATTTCTCGCCAATTAAATCATTAACCTTTGCATTTGTTTTGTGTGAATAATTCATGAATATATGTATTTATATATATATACATATATATATATATATATATATATATATATATATATATATATATATATACATAAATACATACATAAATACATACATATATACATATATATGTATACATACATATCTATATTTATATATATACATATATATATAGTGAATATATATATATATATATATATATATATAGTGTGTGTGTGTGGTGTGTATGTAGTAAACTTCCCACTGGATTGTGTAAATGTGTGGCAGAACAGGAATTATTAGATATAACAAAAGGACAATATTTGCTATGGGCTACAAAGAACAGGGAATTGCTGAGTGCCCCGATCGTCCATGTCTTTAAACGGCACAGAGAAGGAGCTATATACACCTTTAAAAGCCGCTGAATTGATTATAAGACAGCATAAAATGAACCTCATCATATGTGGCATCAAATACCGCCAGTGGACAAGAAAACGGCTGAAAAAAAGTCCTGGCTAGATGTAATCACCTTTTTCATGAATATCTATATGGCATTTCGATATTTATTTCTCAATAAAACTGTCGAAAGAAATGATGTATTATCATAAATGTGGAATTAGCATTTGCCAAAGTCTCATTTGCAACCTCTGGCAGAACACGTTTGGGCATCACCAACCTGCCATAAGCTTGAAACGCCTTCCTAGATCTTTTTTCAAATTGCGAAACTATGATTGATATTCCTGTATAAATCGATTTCTATGCACACAATTTAAATCTCCCACCTTCATTCAAGGAAATGTAATACTCTTGTCACTGAAAGTGTTTTTTGTTGTATATTTTTGGTTTATTCCTGCCTGGTCCAATTAATCAGAAACCTTTTCTTATTTATCGATTACAATGTCTTCTCTTAATAGCAGCCTTCTCTCTGATACCTGCTAAATTCCAGTCAATCCGTTTTGATAACTGTTTTATAGAGAACAGGGATTTACTCGGTAATCTATATTGTTGATCTAAGTGTTGTTTTGGAAGAAAATGGCGACCGGAAATGTTACTATAATGAAACAGTCGGTCATGAATCAGTCGCTTAATGGTGCGAGAATAGGGAAGGAAATAAATACGATTTGAAATCAGATCCGTTATTAATGAGTCATCAGACGAGGGCGCTGATGACAAACATCGTCTGAGTAATAATCTCGGATTGACAATCTGCTGCCGTATTAGTTGTTTTTTGTATCTATTTTTCTTGTTTATATTTTTCCCTTTCGTGACACCTTACTTTTTTTCTCCTTTACTGTCTCTATTTCTCTCTTTCTCTGTGCCTCTCTTTCTCTCGTTGCTTTCATTTCTTTCATCCTCTCATTCTCTCTTATGTTTCTCTTCATCTTTCCTTTCTCCCTTCCTCTTATTCTCTCTTCCTCTTCTTCTCTTTATCTCTTCTTCACATTCTCTCTTCTGCTCCTTCATATTTCTCTTTCTCTTTTTCTCCCTTTCTCCCACGTTTTATCTCATTGCTTTCATTCACTTTTACTCACATCTCTTTTCCTCACCTGTTTTCTTCTTCTGATTTCCTTATCTTTCTCTTTTCCTTTTTTCTTTTCTTTCTTTATTTCTCTTCCGCTTATTTCACTTTCTCGCATTCACTATTTCTCATGTCTTTTCTTTTCCTTCCTCTCTTCTTCTGATTATCACTTCCCCTCTTTCTGTCATTCTATCTTCCTTTCCTTCTCTCTCCCCCCTTCATTTTCTGTTCCTCGTTTCTTTTCATTCACCATATCTCTCTTCCTCTCATTCAACCTTTTCCTTTCTTTTCTTTCTATCTTCCATTTATTCTTTCTTTTTTCCTTCATCTTATTCTCACCTCTCCATCTCGGTCCCTCTTTTTCTTTTTCTTTCTCTATCGATTTCTGGTTATAATAACATGTCGGTAATCAGTGTTGTTACGTATATGCTACGTTACCACCCAGGTAAAAAGAAATGTCTAGAATAAGTCGTTGCATAGTTTTATAGTCATTTACCACTTGATTAAACTTTACAATTTTTTATTTTTATTCACTAATGTTTTTGAAAATAAAAATTCCAGTTTATTTGAATAAAGTTTGAACAAAGTATCTATAAACAAAATATTTTTTTTGCTATCCTCTGCTAGCAGCAATGATAGAGAAAGCTTTACCTCTCACCATTGCCAAAGAAGTCATTGAGTATTTTACGTCCAAACTAAAAACTCTCTTCATTCACTAAGACATAACTTTAGTGAATCTATCTTGCTTTCTATTATATTTGTCATAAAAGTGGTCATTTTAAAATAACCTATCAGAACAAAACAAACTGAAAAGTCCATGAGAAGAATATAAAAAAAATGCTACATGAACAATTCAAAATAAATTTAAACAAATAAAAACTTTTGTTATAAATTTAAAATTAAATAAATATGATTATCTTTAAATATTTTGCTAACTTCAAAAGTTTATACTGAATCAGTTTAACTATGGATTACCTTCCAATTGTTATAGCAATGATTTTGTAAATATTAAATATCTATCTATCTATCTATCTATCTATCTATCTATCTATCTATCTGTGTGTATATGTATGCATATACATGTATATATAATATATATAATATTTATGTCTATATATACACCTTTATATATGTGTATATGTATATGTACATATATATATATATAATTATATATTCATACATGTTTCATTAAATAATATAAACAAGTGTCTATTTATTTTATGCAAATTCTTTTCATAACGTCTGATAAGCTTAATAACATTATCATTAAACGAGGAAAGAAAATCCCAATACTGATACATATTTTTTTAATCCAATCTAAGCTTTCGGCTTACATAAGCCATTATCAAAGATGACAATTACAGTACAATATATTAAGCAATACACGGACAAGAATGTGATGATATTCTGTTTCTGTTTACATGGATGATTTCCAATCAACGATAAATACGTGCATATAAGCCTCTGGAAGCGAAAATCGCACCGCAGCTCATGAGGTCACACATGACCACGCGAGAGTGAAAACGAGAAGTATTAAGTATGGGAAGCCGTTGGTATAAACCAATGGCTTCTGTTACCAATTATAGACATTTAAGAATATTTGTGGAGATTTCATAGTTTATTTTGTTCAGGTTAGGTTTCAACTGTTTTATGTATATAGCTTCAAGAATTTTTAACTTTTCTTTATTGTTTTCATGTTTAAGTATAGTTGTGTTTTCTACAAGGATTTTACGGAATTGTGTACGCGGCCAGACATGTTGTTTTAAATGCCTAAAAATGTTAGAGTTATCTAGAGTTACTGAAGGCCTGAATGATCTTTTTACTCTCACCATTGGTCAGTTGGGAAGACAGTGGGGCTGTAACACGGTTGGTAGAATTTTGCTGATACACCCATCTATCTATCTATCTATCTATCTATCTATCTATCTATCTATCTATCTATCTATCTATCTATCTATCTAATATGTGTGTATGCGTGTGATGTAATTTATCACGGATTATTGAGTTTTATGTTTTAATCCGACATATTTTTATATCTTCGAATTGTTATTATTAGTTGATACCCGCATTTGTATAGACGGATTTGTTACGTTTTATTTTAAGGAGACATTCCTCTAGTTTGCTCAAGTGTGCACGGAATTAGGAAAAATAAACAGTGTTTAGAACAAAACTTAGCTTTTACTGAAATGCGTGTTTCCATTACAAGTAACATTTAAACTAATAAAAATATTAGCTCACGACAACCTCGTCACAAATTACTTCCTTTGGGCACAGAAAGATTGCATCTGTTATAATACAAGCATTAGCGCATCGTTTTCTATAACGCCCAGTCTGAACTTTAAGTCTAAAATATATCAAAGTAACCAAATGTTTCCTGTTTTAACAGAAGAAGAAAAAGAAGAAGAAAAATAAGAAGAAGAAGGAGAAAAAGAAGAGGAAAGAGAAAAAGAAGAAAAAAGAATGAGAATGAAAAAGTAGAAGGAGAAGAAGGAAAAGTAGGCGGAAAGAAGAAGAAGAAGAAGAAGAAAAAGAAGAGGAAAGAGAAAAAGAGGAAAGGGAAGAAGAGCAAAGAGAAGAAGAATGAAGAAGAATGGAACGAAGGAGAAGTAGAAGAAGAAAAAAGAAAATAATAATAAGAAGATGAATAGAGTAAAAAGTAGGAGGAGAAGAAGAGGAAGAAGAAAGGTAGTAATTGTAAAAGAAGAAGAAGGAGAAGTAGAAAAAGGAGAATGAGGAGGAGGAGAAAAAGAGAAAATAAGAAGGAGGAAAGGGGGGAGGAGAGTAGAACAGGAACAGAAGAAAAAGAAGACGAGGAAGAAAAAGAAGACGAAGAAGAAAAAGAAAATGAAAAAGATGAAGAAAAAGAAGAAGAATGAAGAAGTAGGAGGAGGAGAAGAAGAAGTATTGGTAGAGGAAGTATTTGAAGAAGAAGAAGAAGAAGAAGAAGAAGAAGAAGAAGAAGAGGAAAGAGAATAAGAAGAATTAGAAAGAGGAAAAGAAGAAAAAAGGAGAAAAAAAAGAAGAGAGTTAAACCGCAAAGACAAATATAATATAAATAGAAAAACACAGATTCCCAGTTCCTCTTTAGTGTTATCGGAATCTTTGCCTTGTGTATATTCTTGACGATCATGTTTATTCTCAGAAAATTCGACTAGCATTCCAACTTCAGCAAATTCTTCCACACTTCTTGAACTGCTCGTCGTTAAATGTTTGTTAACCTGCGCTCCGGCCTTATCTTAACCAACTGCTGCTGTTTATTTCGAGTGACTTTGGTACTTAACATTGTCCTATCGATAATAGAGGGAGGATTTGAAAAGACCTCAGCCTAACCCATGATAATCAAAACATATATCAGAATATTTTTTCATATCACTTCTTCATCGAGCCAATAACTTTTCAGTACTCTCTCGTCTATCTGTTGTCTATATATGTATCCGTCATTTTCTCAGCATGTGATTTATAGAAGTAATACCATATATATTTGATTGACTCAAAAATAATTTCCGTTTTCTCTCTTGGTTTTATTTTCTAAAGATAAAGTACAATTACATTTCATTCAATTATATATACACATTTATTTGTAATAACTTTTTACCATTTATTAGGCCGCTTCGATACATTTGAGAAACCTTCCACAGGTTTTGGTGAGAAAGTTTTTTGACGAATACTTGAATCCGGTTTTCGTAGAGGATTTATTTTCCATTAAAACATTTTACATCGATCATAGTACCTTTCATTATTACGTTAATAAAGTAAAAATTGGTTAGCCCAAAGTCAGGGGAATATTTTTAGTGGGGTAGACCAACCGAGTTCTATAATTGTTTTTTCAATTTGTGTGCGGCCTTTCATTTTAATGGAAAGAGAGAACTTTTTTTTTATTATTGATGAGCGCAGAGCGCTTTTTGCCCAAACATTTATGGGTACGTTGCAGCATTTAGTATTACAATGCATTTGAAGAATAGTAAATTAATACTACCCCGAAGACCAGATCACACGTTCATGGTTAACTTCTTGTTAAGCAACTACATTTCGCGTTGAATATTGTGGTATGCAATACATTTTTATCACTTGTAACGATATATTTAACAACGATTCGATAGGATGATATAATCACCATTACAATTGGTTAACCAATTCGGAAATAATTATAATATATACAATGTCTGTCTGAAATAAAACGGGACTTGGTGTGCTGTGTGAGCTATCGGCGAAAGAGAGATAAGCGTATTGTATTATCATCTTAGTCTGCAACCTACGGCACGTGGCACGCCAAGGAATGTTCCAATGGCACGCAGCTGCAAATGACGTCACAGTGTCCGAACTAATACCTACTACAACGCAAAGAATTAATTAGCTGTTTCAACTTTAATAGTAAAATATATATTATAAGTATTACTATATAAAATATATTGTAGAACAGGTATATTGACCTTGACTTGTTTAATAATACGTTTACTTTTAACGTACTAAATGGTTTTAAAACTCTAAGTGGGCAAATAGCGAAAGGTTGCCGACCCCTGAACATGATATCTTAGGAGTATATAACTTTAACCTTGAACTTTCTGTATTTCCATTTTTTTTTTACTTATGTTGATACAGGGCAGATCGTGGCTGCTTCACCACGGCAATACACCTGCTCACAACGCCTTCTGTCAGTTCCTGATCGAGGAGCATCTGTCCGTCCTGGAACAATCTCCATATTCACTTGCTCTTGTTCCGTGTGACCCCAACCTCAATTGGATCTTTAAAGGGGCACGTTTTGAAGGGGCGGTACTATCAAGAGGAAAGTAAGGCCAAAGTTTAGAAGAAGAATCCTTTCAAAAATGCATAAAAACATGACAGAGAAGAATGAAATAGTGCATTAGACTCGAGGTGGATTATTTTGTTTGTTGATTGGAATTGAATTAAATCATTTGTGTCAACAGTTCCGTTACTTTTCAGACAGACCACGTATATTCTGATTTAGCTTCATTCAAATAAGAAAAAAAGTTTTTGTACAATTTATTTGAATGTGACAAAATTTCAGAGTCTTTGTCTCACAATTTCTGTGCCATGTGGACATCTGGGGTATGAACGTGCCATGTTTTGACGGATGTGAGTATTATGAAAACCTAACCAATGTTTTCAGCATCATTTTTACCAGTGCTCATATTGCAATGTTTTGCATCATTTTTATCATTGCATGCCTTTACCAGGGTTCATATTGCAACTTTGTTATCGTTGCTTTTCTCTGGCACTCCTTATTACTGGTTCCCATATTGTATTTATTTCTATGCTTGGTCGGCTCAGGGAGATTTTTTGTGGCCTAGCATATGTGCTGATTACTTAAGTTCACGAATTTTCCAATGGTGTTCCCTGTCTATGATCTCAACATGATCCCACAGGGGGCGGTGATCTCCCTTCTCTCTCCATATGTGGTCAGCCACGCCTGATTTTTCTACTTCCCCTCGCGTTACAGATTTCTGGTGTTCTTGAAGCCTTACCTTGAGGGGGCGGCCTGTCTCTCCTTTATATTCCTTTCCGCAGCTGCACAGGATAGCGTACACAGTCTTTAGTCATGTTCCTCTCTCTGGGGGGTATCACTCGTGAGAGATATCTGCGAAGTGTTGTCACGCTTTTGAAGGTTGTCCTGATGTGACAAAATTTATTTGTAAATTAATTCTCAAAAATATCCCGAAATTCATACACAAATGTCATCAAGTACACATGGCACAGTGGATAAAGGCGTTAGTTAGATCCAGTGACAGGACCCAAAGTGTTGTGAGTTCAATACCTGGTTAAGGAGGTGGAGAACTTGGCGAGAGGGATTAACAGGAGATCACTGATAACTGACATCCATAAAACATGCCACGTGGAACTAGAACAATCTACCCCAATGAGCGAAATAAAGGTCGACATTCTAACCACCTGAAGAAGGCTGGAGCGTACAACGGCCGAAACGTTGTAATAAATATGGCGACAAAGATGAGGAAAATAGTCTGAATAATGTAAATATTGCCTTTAAATTTAATTTGACTCGCAGAATATAACTGTATCATCAGGTTCTAATTAATCGAACATTCTTTTAAAGAAAATCCCTTCAATTTATTTTCTCATAAAGTGGGGTTAGCAGTCCGCCATTTCCATGCTTTTTGACTCAGATGAAAATGTAGTATCACTTCTCTTTACCGCTTTAAATTATAAATGGAATCTAGGCCGGGGAAATCCACCATTACTTGAACATCTTCGTCATTGCCCGAAAGATTGGAAATTTCCGTATCCCATCGTGGCAATTTTTACGCTGACAGGTTTATTTTTGATTTTGGCTCTTCTATATACTCCCTACATTAAACTGACCTTGTGTTGTATCCTACCACCATAGTTCGATTTTTAAATACCAACTGTAATTTAAACTCCACACTGATAATTTTTTTTTGATTTTCTCTACAATAACTTCAACTGAAACTGCTTGAAAATCCGGAAATATAGTCATGAAATAATCTTGTTCCCTAGTAAACTTTTATTGACAAATATTTCCAACCGTAAGTTTTTGAATATTCTTTGAAGCACATCAAATATATCCTAAAGCCACCTTTCTCTGGCAACGTTTCATTCCCATTATGGTCGGGTTTACCCCTAACCGTGTATACCCGGACTGATACGATGCGAAGTAGAAAATCGGATCAAACTAATTCAAATTATACTCCCATAAATACAATATATATATATATATAATAGTTGAACAGGCAAGCCAAGCTTCAATTAAATCTGTTGTGTTCAATTCATAATAATACCTTTGAAAAAAGCATGAATCTTTTCCCCTAAAATCGATGAGTTTAATAAAATGACAGGCTAGGATCTTCAACGGAAAACGACACTATTATCTTTGTCTATATCTCTGAGATGAGGTACTATGATTACTTGCATTATTTACATTATTGGGGCTGTTATCTTCATCCTTATTCACAACATTTCGGCCTCTATAT